AGTTGAAGTCCACGCATCTTAAAGCGGCCAAGGTTGAGAAACACTGGGCTAGAGAAAGAGCCAGAACTGAAAGAATTTTGCAGACCACCTCACCAAATTGCCGCACAATGAGAATGCTGTTTGTTTTTTTTAATAAGAAACCTCAGATCAGTGAGGTCCACAACCTTAATCATGGCAAAGTACAAAGCTTATAATGCCTACTTATCTAGCGCAAAATGGGTGTAAATATTCCAAGCGGGTCATCAAGACCAACAGCCAGGGAAGCTGTCTGGATTACATCAGGGCCTGTCTGCCTGGAACTCAATCTGTCACCAAACATCTTTGGGGCTGTTTAGTTTCAGAGCCAGGCAAGGACAGAGGACCGGAGCTGATGGCTTCTGGCTCCAGGCAGCCAGTGGCAGCTGGCAGAGCTCACAAGGGCATTGGAAAAATCTTCCAAGACAGGCAGCTCTTTTGCCACTGAATGTCACTTTGGGAAAAGAAAAAGTCATTTTCGTCGGAGTAAGAGCCTGGGCCTCTTGATTTCCAAGACCTGGGCAGTCTTGCCGGAAGCTCTTCTCCCACTTGGCATCCTCCAGATACTGGACTCCAGTTCCATCATCCTCAGTCAACAGGGCTGAGGATCATGGGAGTTTCAACCCAAGACTTCTGGAGACCACTGGATTGAGAGAAGGCTGCTTGAAAGCTACCAGCCCAGCAAGGCTGATTTTCCTTGGCAAGTCAACAGGACTGAAGAGCAAGTCAAGGAACACCAGCCCAATTCGCTCTGCTTCTTGAGCTCCGAGTACCCACCATTCTGGGAGTTAGAACTGTTTCAACTGGTGCAGACTCCTGCGCGTTCAACCCAAGAGCATCATTTGCAAGAAACGGGGATTTTTTCCTAGTTGAAGGCAAGTCCCAACTTCCACCTCGGATGAAACTGAATACAAAGGAGAACTGTTGAAAAAGGCAGATTGGTTCTCTATGAGCAGCAGACATGTTTTTGCACAAGTAAGATTTCCTGGTTTGAAACTTGTCCTTGCCAAATTGCAGAGATGGAGAAATCGTCCCTGGCCTTTCTGGGAACTGCTTGTTTTCTTACTTCCGTTTAAAAAAAAAAAAACAATTATGCAACGGAAACCATACATTGTATGCTTCTTTGCAGTGCACATTTGCTTTTGTTTATTAAACGATTTGAGACTTGTTTTTCTCTCTTTCCAATCTTGCAATCCCGGACAACTGAAAGAATGTGGAGGAGGGGACGGCAGAAGAAACCAGCCTATTCTAAGATCTGAATCTGGACGCCTCTTGCAAGGAGGGCTAGAAATGTGCTGTCTTTTTTGAGACATTCATCGCATGCAAATTGTCTGTCGGTGTTCACAGCAAGCTATGATATTGTCTTCAGCAATGTGGTCACACTGCAGCAAGCTTTGGGGGGCGGGGGGGATGAATCTGTCAGCTGCCATGTCATTTTTCAAATCAGACAGTGAAATAACTTTATCTCCAGAACAGAAACACTGTTTCTCCTAAACACTGTTATGTTTGCCTTTTTTGGGTGGGGGCTCATCTTCATACACAATCCCCAGAATTTTGTGAAATTAGCTAACATTTCCCACTTTCTTTTGATATTATGGAAAATATAAGAACTTAGGTAATGGTATTTTCTGTTAGGTTTTTTTTTTTTAAATCTCAGCCTTGAATCTCCAGATGTGGCTTGACTACAACTCCCATTATCTCAAACTAGCTTGTTGCGTGTCAGGTATAGCCTAGAAGATCACAGCTTGAAAAGAGTTAGATTATTGTTGAAATTTCAGACTCTGGCTGCTCAGATAGACTGCTCTTGTTCATGAGATAAGGTGCAATACCTTCTTTGCTGCTACCACCATCTCTTTTTCTCTACCCACATTCTTAACTCAGCTAAGGTGAAGCAAAATAACCAGGAGGAAGATGCTGAAATGCAACCCCCATCCTCCGGAAGCCCAGACTGGACTGTTCACAGGTTCACCGTGCACATCTTCTCCTGGAGATGACAAATTACCAGTGGGTGGGTGGGTCTCTGTCTCTGTCTCTCCTTCCTTCCTCTTTTCCTCCCTCCCTCCCCTCCCCTCCCCTCCCCGAAAAGGAGCCATGGGGACTGCAAAGAGAGGCGGAGGAGTGGTGCACCTGTGGATGGAGCCCAATGCATGATGACTACATGGACATATTTACCTAGTTTTCTCAGCAGCCATAGGAAGTGATTTGCCGTAGTCTTCTTCCAGTTTATTTTTTCAATTGCCAGCTTGGGCTCCGGCTCTGAGATTTTCCAATGCCACTTAGCTTTGGAGCCAGGCCGGATCACCCTGGTGGAATCACATGCAAGTTGACTTGCGCAACGAAGGAGTGTCTCTGCTCGATGTCACTCACAAAGCGCATCTATATCCAAAGGGGAACAACACGTACTTTCCCCTTCCCACTTCTCAGCTCTCCACAGCTGCTTTTGAGACACACGCGCAGAACTGTTTTTCACAGATCTTTCCGAAGTCGTCGCTAGAAGCTCGGGACAGAGCAGGCAAAAGCTGGCATGGGTCTCTTCGGAAGACTCTGTCTTCCCCTCTGAACCCACCAGCACCCCGTTGCTCCCAAGCCCAGTCCTGATCCGCAGGACATAACTGTGTTTCTCTGCTGAAAGCTTTTAAATGCAATCTCCCTCAAGATCCCAGGGGACGGGAGCTGCAGGAAGTGACTCCCCACAGTCCTTGCCACTACCGATTTCCAGGCCCAGGGCAGGGAGTGCCAATCCTTCTACGTAGTCAAAACAGACTCTCCCCACCACCACTGCCCTCCTCATAAAATCGTCCCAGCGAGGACTAAAAAAGTCTCGTTCCCCCAAAACTCTGTCTGGAGCAGAACGAGATACAGAATAGCACGTGGGTATGCATAAGAGCGTTCCTCGCTGCAACATCTGGCTCCAGAGCCCCCTCCTCTCCCCACGGATGAAGGCAGTGTCGTGCGGGATAAACGAGGCAGAAGGTTAGACTATCTGGCTTATAAAAAGTTTTTTTTCCTTTTTTTTAATAGAAACAAGTGGAGGCGTCAAGGTCCTCTAACGTGTACAAAAGGTAGGAGAGACAAGAAACACACACACGTATCCAGACTTCCTTTCTACAAAAATTCTGCAGAGTGACTGAAAACCATCTTTAAACATCTAGGGCAATTGGTAGAAAGATTTGGGCCAAATGTACAGATCCATAAATATAATCCAGTCCAAAATGTTTGAGCTAGGCAACTTTATAATTCTGATAGGGAGGGGGGTTGGGTGGAGGGGTCAAGAAAAGGTTTACAGCCTGGGAAAAACTAGTCTGGCAGGAAAAGCTCCCCCCCCCGCCGCTTTTCTCCCTGCCATTCCATTTTCTCATTGATTTCTTTACACAAGTCTTACAGCCACTTCAGGATATCAGTTAAGATCATCTTTCCCCGAAACCTGAATTCATAAGGAGACTGAAACCTGTGCTTTTTCGTTATCGTGTCTCCAGATCATTGAACTCAAGGAACAGAAGGCAGCATAAAGCTCCTTATTGTTGATGTTGGAAGGATAAACCTAACCCATTTTCTAACTGACTCAACGTATCTCCAACAGAGATGGCTGCATTTTTCGGAAGACAGAAAAAGCTAAGAACACTTGGGAGCAATCCCAGAAGTGGGTCTGGTATTCGACAGATGGGGTGACCCAGATATTTGCTTCTTCCCCTTAGAATCTATACATTTGGTTTTGACCCTCCCTTAAGCCTACCTTTGGCCTTAGATTAATGGTGGTGGTGGGGAGTTGCCCCCCCACCTCTGGCAATCTGCACTCCCAATTTTGGACACAAAGCAGGCTGTGAGGTCTGCCAAGAAACAGAGGTGTGACCACGTCTGGTCTAAATATTGAACCATGCAAGCATTTTGCAAAGGTCAAACCACGTCAAATTGCTCTGTTTAGAAAACCCAGGACGGGTCCTGATGCTGGAAAAGTTGTCCACACCATGTCTCAGCCTGCACTTGCCCTCCGCTAGTCCTCCCACGGGCGCTGGGCTTCAGCTTCAGTAATTCCCATAAGTTTGAGGAACACTAATGTAACTAGTCGCTGTTTGGATCTGGACCACGTGAACTGCCATTAAGCTCCCCTGAAAACAGGGTAAAAGACACTCATGACAAAGCTAGATCCCACGCTCGTTTACGCAGAAGAAAGCCCCACGGAATTTAGCACGGCTGAGTCCCTATCAATGTGTGCAGGATTGCAGCTGAAGTAAACAGACTTCATCCAGATCCAACCCATTGCAAAGTGTCCCCAAGTATTTCTCTACTGACTCGGTTGAGTGATTTCAATTTCAACCCTCCTGAGAAAAACAGGACGTGTATTTGGCAAACTGAAGCTGCAGCCTCACACACTCTGGGTAAGAATGCACTGGAGTTTGGAAGCGTCCAAAAGATGAGAGGAACGTGTCTTCAAAAAATGCATCTGGCACTCTTTGGCATACAATATGGCAGTGGTTCTCAACTTTGGCAAGCTTAAGATGGTTGGACTTCAGTTCCCAGAATTCCCCAGCCAGCCCGTATCTTAAACTTGCCAAGCTTGAGCAACACTGCAGTACGGCAACAGCCGTGAATGCAGATGGGGTTTTAGAACAGGGTTGAGCATATACTCGTGGAAGAGAGGCCCAATAAAATGATGCCTGGTGCAGAATTTCACAGAGTGCAATCTAGCTGAGCATCCTAGAGTTGGGAGGAACTTGGAGATCTTCTAGCCCAGGGACTACAGCTTGGTGGCATCACAAATGTTTGCCATGGGAGAAGTGCTGGGCTCAATCCTTGGCATTGCCAGTTAAAAAGGGCAGGTTGCAGAGGGCAGGGAAGCCCCATCTCCATGTAAAACACCAGAGGAGATGAGACTGGGTAGCAAATGGATAGACAATTAAATTTGGTATAAGGAACCCTTGGATAATTTTTGGGGAACTCCAGAGCCCTGCTTTAGAGTCTTTTAGCTCAACCCATTATCGTTGCATGGACTTCCCTCTGGAAAAACCAGCCATCAAAACCCAGCTCTTCCCCCTTCTCAAGCCCCAATTTGACCCACATACGGGCAGCTTTGACCCAGGTTATCCTCTCAAAACAAGCTTACCGCTGCAGTAAAAATAACATAAGTAATGTCACCCCATATACAAAGATTTGGATAGACGGATGCTCTTCTGAAGGCACATCCACCTGGCAGGTTTCCCAAGGCCTGGATCACTGTTTCCAAAGACAAGAAGAAGTGCAAGACGCTTTCCCAGAAGAAGCAAGGATGCTTTTGTCTGGATATTGCAGAAGGCAATCCGTGAAGGCACCAGTTCTGCACGAGTTCCCTGAAGCAGGGCACAGAATTGTGAGGCTGTGGCTGCATAGCGCAAAGGGGCTGGGGGAAAAACAAATCCACAAGACCAATGCAGCACAGAGCAAGGGCAGCTTTACCCCAGATAGAGGCTAGAAAGTCTGTTCCTCCAACTTCTTCTCCTGAAGCTCTTCCGCCATCCAAAACAGGAACGGACAAAAAGTGTATCTGGAAGTATTAGGAGCTCTCGGTGTGGCTCACAGCCAACTGGCAAGGACGGCTGGCTGCCATGTTTTAAGGGCAGCAGTGAAGGTAACCCTTCCACCCATTACCTGTCCAGCGCTGCGGAAATGAAGGAAGTTTAGGGAACCCCCGGATGAACGTTGGGCTGCTCCATCTAGTTTTGGTATTCAGAACCAATTTCTGGCCTCAGGATCCTAAACAGATGCCTCTGGCACCAGGGTCCCATTGGTGGAGCTCTTACAATACTGAAGTCGATTCCTGACACCCCGAAGGCTGCCACGCTCTGATTCAGAAGTATGCAAGAAAGAGGAATGTAGCTTCTGAGAAGCATACCAACAATGTGTTCTCCCTTGAATTGGAGACAGCATAGTTACACCCTCCAAGAAACGAAACAAGAATTCCTTTCCCCAAACAGTTCTGCCACTTCCTTTCTGATGCAACCTCCAACTTACCATCTCAGCTGCCTGGACAGAGCAACACACAAGCAACATATTCATTGCAGGAGGAGGGGAACACCCCAGCAATAGCTATCCATCCTATTCAGTTTCCTAAATGACAGCAGGACAGACATACCCAGTTGTTACCAAGCAAGTGTAACTAAAGAGGAAGCTGGAGATAGGTCCCCACCAGCCTGCGTCCCCTTGCTCACTCCCGCTTCTGCCAGATTTTGCGTTTGACTTTCACAGTCATGTAGACGGCCGTGAGGCTACAGCAAGCCATCAGGAAAAGGCACAGAGCGGAAAAAAAGGGAGCCAGGCTGCCATGCAGCTGAGAATAGATGGGCCGCCTAGTTCGGTAGTCTAGAAGCACGGCCTCCACCTGGGTGAAGGTACAAAGTATGAGGAACATGTGGAAGATCTGGTGGCCTTGTCCAACAAAGTGACACTTCCCGGGAAACCACTTCTCTGGGTAGGGGTAGGCGAAAAAAAAGGCTGCAACCAGAAAACACAGAACGTGGCACTTATGGTAGGAAACAGCCAAATCGCTTTGCCCAGAGATGGTGGAGGTATAAATACGGTGGAGCACAGGGCTGATGTCTAAGGCGTAGGCCACTGCCGAGGGCATTTCCTGGCAGAGCCTGCCCTGCAGAGAAGAGAGGTGCGGGCATCGGTATTTGGCATAGCAGGAACCAGCACACGACAACCAAGCCAACACCACAGCACTGGGAATGTAGAAACTGGCAATCCAGGCGTGCCATTCTGGCTCAATGGCATAGTAGTAATGCACTAAAGCGCTACCATACTGGTACGTGGCAACCCCCACGTAGTCCAAAAAGAAGAAAGTATAGTGGCAGAACTCCGACTTGGCTTGCAAGAGGTGAGCCGAGGTGCTGAAGGTTGAGTAGATGATGGAAGACACAGCCAAGACAAAGAGGGGCTGGGCATGCGGGTCCCCCACAAAATCAACTGTCTGGGAGAGTTGCCAGAACTTCCCCAGCAGAATGAAAGCTGCCAGCAGGTGGGTCCAGACATTGAGGGCTTCGTTGTGCTGCTGGAACAGGGACAGGAAGTAGAAGGTCCAGCTCTGGTGGAGGGGTCGGTAGCCGGCGTGGATGTAGGGCTTCCGGAAAAGCTGGGGCACGTCGGAGGCTCCCACTGTGGAGGACGGAGCAGGCAACGCCTCTGCCAGAAGTCGAGGGATTTTGCACAAGTGCTGGATGTTGATGAAGAGGTGGCTGAGTTTTTCGGATACGATGGTTGCCATGACAGGAAGGGGAGAAACCTTGAAAATTGGGAAAAAGACATTCAGAGAGAGAGCAGAGCAAAGCCAGTGGGACTGATTTTTACCAGCACGCTAGAATGACAGAAGTCATGGGCCGGCGGGCCATTTGGAGGAAGCAGATGTGTGCACAAATGCCACCCCCCACAGTTAAACAGGAACTTAGGCTGCACCCGGTGCCTCTTCATCTGGAAGTTCAGCTTCACCAAACCCAGCAGGACTTGCTTTTAAATAAACATACCTAGTGCTACGCTACTTGGATACAATCGAAACAGGAGTGCAAAAAGGAACAAGGTGCAAATTCTATCCTGACCGTTAACAAGAACTGCGCTCAGTTGTGTCGCGCTTTTTGGTTCTACCTGCAACAGCCTGGAGCATTTGAAGGCCAGACTTGAACAGCCAGAAATTGGAGGCTTAAGCAGAAGCCGTGGTCCAGGCAGAAGAACATCAGTAGCTGCCATCTAAATGACTCCAAACCATTCTTACCTTAACTCAGATTTTACAAAACGCTCCCAATAATCCAGAGACCGATTGATTTTTTTTTTTAAACAAATTACCTACCTCCAGATAAATTTAACCCATACACAAACGCCCCCCCCCCAAGCAACGGATTCGCTAAATCAGGCGGGTGCACGTGTGCCCGGCTATATCAGTACAGAAGGAGAACTTCCTGGATGTAAAAATGACAAGATATAGCTTAGGATACAGCAGTTCAGAGGAGTTAGAGAAACATTTGGATTGCCTAAAAAGGCATGCCGGTGAAGTCAGTGGTAGACGTGAAGAAACAAAGTACCGTACTCCTAACTTCTTGGAGATGGGAGAAAATTACAGGAGAAGTGACACTGGCTTGCTCTGGGGGTGCATCTGTGTGCCCATAGAGCACTGTTTCTCAACCTTGGCCACTTGAAGATGTGTGGACTTCAACTCCCA